TCCAGTTTGACCCAAAACCAACGGTGCCGGGCCCTGGCTGCACCCTGCGCCACGTCAAACACGCTAAGGAAGAAAGCGCCATAAGGGACCCCTTAAACAAAATTGAGACAAACAAGTCGTTTTCTCTCCATTTTCACTCTTTTTTTAATAAAAATACGCTCTGCACACAGCTTTCGTGAATACCATATTAATGGCAATTTAGGCCAGTTTCCGGAAATGATGTTCCCTTTCAATTACATTCACGTATCTCCTGTAGAGATGTCCAAAGGAGTTTTCTCATACTACTGCCTGGCGAAAGTGAGAGACCTCAAACTCCGAAATGTACGAGGTGATTATATCAGTGGACAAGATTTTTATGAGATTATAAGTCGCTTCTTCAAGGATACTTTATTAGCGCTGACGATGCCGTTTTCCAATTTTGGCATAAGCTCGATCTAGAAGAAATTCTTTACCCAATCTGGGTCATAGAAAAGCGTTATCCCTCTGCCTGGTGGCTAACCAAATATGGTAGGTCAATATATGCTACTTGACTAGTCCCAGTCGTAATTCGTTTAGGCTTGAAAGCCGCACAGCGTGCCAAATCTTTATTTACAAAAAAGTATCGAGAAGACGCACGAGTGAGGCATTTGTGGAAGTGTTACAAAGAAGGGGTGGTTGCAATTATTCGATGTTTCAAAACAGATGGTAAAAGTTTCACTTTGAGCTTCTGGCACAAGGTCATGCGGAGGACGCGGCTTCACATGTTGGGAACGATAATGGTTGGACATTAAGTGACTTGTAGGTACATTTTCCAAGCCTAGCTGTATTTTGTGAAAGCGCATTTGCTCTTTCCAGCTTCTATGTTCCTCAGAAACGGATTGACTATTTAGCAGAAGCTCTGGAAATTTTCTACGAAGCTGAATTATTTGTTGAGCTGACTATGCAGAAGTTACTACGCAGTGTACGACATAACAGGTTACATTTTTTGGTTTTCCATTCCACCTATAGAAACAAAAGATATCCAGTTGTTAGAAAAGTTCTTCTTCTCATATGACCACTTTCGAAACATGCGAAAGGCTCTAACTTAGGATGTTCTTGTTGCGCGATATTGCCATATCAAATACGCCATTCAGCTCACTGTAATCTCTGGCCATCACTCCCTACGTCCAGAATGCTCCGTTACCTGGTTGGAATGCTCCACACCGCTTCATCCGTTGCCATTATGAACAAATGATAGTTAACGTGCTAATGGTGTGCCGTGGCATTTTCTGATCAGATGCTCTGTGTTCTATTGACATGTGAGAGGACGGCGCACCTAGCCGGCTTCCCTGAAAAAGGCCAAATTGTCGTATAGGCCAAAAAACGTTTCTTATCAGAAAGGATACCAGGTCGCAGAAGCGAACCAATACGGAGTGCATATCATTAGACGCGTTGTGTTGGACTGATCCCAAATCTTACTTCCGTGTCTGCTACGAGCTTCTTCAGACGAAGTTATGTGCGTTTGAAAGTTCGAATTTGGCAAACAAACAAATTCATTGCCACACCTACAAGATTAGTTGTTCATACACATTTATTTATGTGTTCGATATATGTATGCATTTCTCGTAATCAATCAACTCAAAACCATAACAGTTAGTCACCAGGGTCTAGCAAGGGGTGTGGCACACGATCGCTCGATACGACCCCCCCCC